GAATAGGGGGTTAAAATACAACTGAATATATACATGAATGGTGTTAATATACACTTCAGATATATACATGAATAGGAGTTAATATACGACTGAATATATATACATGAATAGGAGTTAAATACAACTGAATATATACATGAATGGTTGAAATACAACTGAATATATACATGAATGGGGGTTAAATACAACTGAATCATACATGAATGGGGTTAAAATACGACTGAATATATACATGAATGAGGTTAAATACAACTGAATATATACATGAATAGGTTAAATACAACTGAATATACAAACTCAGGGGATTTAATATACAACTGAATATATACATGAATGGGGTTAAAATACAACGCTGAATATAGCCATGGTGGGGTTAAATACGACTGAATATATACATGAATGGGGTTAAAATACAACTGAATATATACATGAATGGGGTTAAATACAACTGAATATATATACAAACTCTGGGGTTAATATACAACTGAATATATACATGAATGGGGTTAATATCGACCTGAATATATACATGAATGGGGTTAAAATGCAACTGAATATATATACATGAATGGGGTTAAATACAACTGAATATATACATGAATAGTGTTAATATACAACTGAATATACATGAATACAAGGTTATATACGACTGAATATATACATGAATGGGGTTACAACTGAATATATACATGAATAGGGGTTAAATACAACTGAATATATACATGAATAGGTTAAAAATACAACTGAATATATATACATGAATGGGGTTAAATACAACTGAATATATACATGAATGGGGTTAAAAAATACAACTGAATATATACATGAATGGGGGTTAAAATACAACTGAATATATACATGAATGGGGTTAAAAATACGAAAGCTGAATATATACATGAATGGGGTTAAAATACAACTGAATATATACATGAGATGAGGTTTAAATACAACTGAATATATACATGAATGAGGGTTAAAATACAACTGAATATAAATACAACTGAATATACTGTTTTTATACATCATCAGAAATAAACAAATAAACAACAACAAAATCAACATAAAACAAACAAATTAACAAAATAAGACCAATAAAAATTAATTAATCTTCCCTGAATAAAAGGTTTCAGGTGGTAACTATTTAGCCCCATTACGTTAACCTATTTGATTGAACTAAATAATTGGACAATGAGAAATGTGAGTGAAATTAATGGTGGGAAAAAATACAGATGAGGTGAAATAGTTTGTTTTTTGTTCTCTTTATTCTCCCTTCGTCTCCTATTCTCCTTCCCGTCCTTATTTCTCTCCTATTTACTCTTCCTTCATCTCCCTATTTACTCTCCCTTCCTCCTATTTACTCTTCCTTCATCTCCCTATTTACTCTCCTTTCTTCACACTCCCTATCCCTCCCATCTTCTCCCTCACCTTCTCATCCCCCTTCCCCCTTTTCCCTTACATCTTCCTTCCTTTCATCTTTTTTCTACGTCCCTCCCTTCCCTTTCCTTCCTCCTCCCACACCCTCCCTCCCTCCCATCCTCCTCCCCTCCCTCCACACCTCCTCCTCCCTCCCTCCCTTCCCTCCCCTCCCACATCCCCAGGCCTTTGATCAGCACCGTTATGACGTCACACATTTCCACCACCCACACGCTGTGCTCAGGTCGAGATAACACTGTGATGCCCTGACAACACTGCCCTGACAGCACTGACATCATCTCTACCTCCTACCTGCCGTTGACATCAACCTAAGTGACGTCAGATTAGGGTCTATAAGTGACGTCACAGTAGGGTCAATAGGTCACGTCACACTTTAGTTTTATCACGAAAGGAGTGACGTCACCTTGCTTTACCATCAAGTGACATCTTCCTCAAGTTACTTTTAGCGTTTAACGTCAAGTAGCACCATCTGTACATCCAGTAACATAATTTAGCTGTTAACATCATAACATAATAGCTGTTAACATCAAGTAACATAATTAGCTGTTAACATCAGTAACATAATTTGATCTGTTAACATCCAGTAACATAATTTGTCTGTTAACATCAGTAACATAATTTATCTGTTAACATCCAGTAACATAATTTAGCTGTTAACATCAATCATAATTTAGCTGTTAACATCCAGTAACATAATTTATCTGTTAACATCCAGTAACATATTTAGCTGTTAACATCAAGTAACATAATTTATCTGTTAACATCCAGTAACATAATTTAGCTGTTAACATCAAGTAACATCAGGGATTAAATGTTTGTGGAGGGGAATAAATTCTTATACTTTTATACAGGAAATATTCAGACACCATATGATGCTGCACACACCTGCCTGATCCCTACCTCTTTATCTCCCTGATACCCTCATCCCTGACACCCTCCCTCCCTCCTCCTGCCTGCCTGCCTGCCTGTTTGTCTTCCCTCCTCCCTCCTCCTGTCTCGGTTACAACATATCTGACCAACAACTTCAAAACAACAGGACAATATTGACAGGCATAGTGTCAGGCTCTCAGGCTTCAATACACCTGCAGGGAGAGCAACACCTGCAAGGAGAGCCACACCTGCAAGGAGAGCTACATCTGCAGGGAGAACCACACCTGCAGGAGGCTACACCAGCAGGGAGAACCACACCTGCAGGGAGAGCCACACCTGCAAGCAGAGCCACACCTGCAGGGAAAGTCACATCTGCACGACAACACAAACCTACCTGAGACACTTAACCGTCGCTGCCACACCTACGAGGGGTGCCACAACCACACTCACCTGAAAGTAAAAAAAAACATTAATATGACACTTGGGAAATATACGGACTAAGACCCATTAGAACAGGGGCCCATTAAACTAAGACCCATTAGAACAGGGGCCCATTAAAACTAAGACCCATTAGAACAGGGCCCATTAAAACTAAGACCCATTAGAACAGGGGCCCATTAAAACTAAGACCCATTAGAACAGGGGCCCATTAAAACTAGGACCTAGTGTAACTGGGTCTCACTAGGAAATAAGTTAGGATAAGTTCAATTAGGATAAGCTGGATTTGGTTAGTTTAAGTCAAAATAAGATTCTAGTCGGGTCATATCAGTTCAAATTAATTCTGGTTATATCACGTGTGGTAGTTTTTACTCACAAAAAATAATAATTACTTTAAAATGCAAGCTTCCCCCTCCACAATATCACTTTTCTCTTCTAGTTATCAGAAAATCAGCTTTATTTTAAGACTCTAATGAAGCTCTATGAAGACTCCAGCCGCTCTGTAAAGTTGCTACGGTAATATTAATGTCCGGAACGTAAAAAAAAACACTGTTGATTGCTGTGTGACGTGCTCTCTCGATCTGTCCACACCTCAGCCGGACCTCAGCCGGACCTCAGCCGGACCGGTGTCTTAGCTAAAAGGCGCGAGGGACAATCACCGTTTTACACGTCACGCTTAATTAAGGTCTACTCCTATAATTCAATGTTACTTCTTATTATTAATTGTTAATATACAATTAATTCATAAACTATCTGACGAGAAATAAGTAAACACATCATAACCCTGTGAAAAATCTGATGGCTGCCTACGCTATCAGACTTTATTTATACAGTAATAATAGTCAATCAACACTACTATTTATACATTAATACACGTGAATGATGGAGGATACGAATTATTGTGAGAAATCCATGAACTACCCCTGACAACAAGGGCTCCGAGGGACAAGTCGTTACCAGGTTTCATATACACTTTAATATTATTCGAGAAGAAGAAAGAAGGAGAAGAAAGAGGAAGAGAAAGAGGAAAATGCAAGAGAAAGGAAAAAATATAACCCCCCTCCCCAATCCGTCAACCCCCATAAAAGGAACGCTAAAGTTTTTACAGCGTTAAGCGACGGACAAGTTGACTCAAGTTGACTCAAGCTGACTCAAGCTGATAGTCCACTGAGTCTGAGTCGATCCTTTCCCCCAACTCACCCACCCCAAGCTTAGGGAGGGATCGTGGCAGCTTACTGGAGACTATAATACAAGACAACCCGAAAATCCCTCAAAGCTTCCTGGATTAAATTCTAGACGAAATAATTCTAGTTTTAGCCCAATTTTGACGCCATCTTGAAATTTCCCGTGTTTGAATCTTTCCCCCTTGTCAGTAAATTCTAAAATGAATGCCTCTAGTCTCACAGTAACTTCGACGCCATTTTAACTGGTTTTGTTTTCTTTTAATTAAGGTAATGTTCCGATTCGATTCTCAAAAGCAAGTATAATTATTTTTTGTCATACTATATGAAAAAAATCGTATTCAAGTCTCTATGTAATTCTGACGCCATTTTTCTTCTCTCCCATCATTGTAATTTATCTTAAGTGAGGTAATAAGAGGCGTTCTCACAGCTCCTATCGTAAGAACCTTTGAGAATTTCCCCAGAGCGAAATCTCTCTCTCTCTCTCTCTCTCTCTCTCTCATCTCTTATTTTGGCTGTGTCTCTTAATACTTGATCTCTTTATCTCGCAATTATATGTTTCTCAGTCTCGCTCCACCACCTATTCTCTGTCTCTCCCCACCTGCTCTCTCAAGTCTCTCCCCACCACCTATTCTCTGTCTCTCCCCACCACCTGTTCTCTGTCTCCCCCACCAACTGTTGTCTCAGTATATATCTCTCCAGTGTCTCAGTATCTCTTCCACTATCTCTCACTTCAGCTGACAGGAGAGACAGCCGAGCAGAGACATCGAAATTAGACCATGTGCCCTAACCTAACCTGACTAAATCTAAGTAGACCTGACCTGACCCAACTTGACCTAACCTGACCCAACTTGACTACCTGCCAACGACCTGACCTGAACTTGACCAAACCTGACCCAACTTGACTGACCTGACCCAACGACTGACCTGACCAACTGGCCTAACCTGACCTAACCTACAGTAACCTAACCAATCACCATTCAATGTTATGCCGTTTGTCTATATCACCTCATGAATAAATTACACCGGATTATGCATATTTTATCACCACTTAAAGTATGTAAATTCTATCACCAGTGGAGTGCGGTGGCTCAGTGGCTCGACCGCTCGCCTCCCCTCCTAAGAGTCGTTGGTTCATCCTCAAGGCACCACCTAGTCCACCCGCACCGTCCCCCATGGTATTGTACCCGCACAGTCAGCCCCCCATGGTATTGTACCCGCCGTCAGCCCCTTTATTGTACCCGTACCGTCAGCCCCCATGGTATTGTATTACCGTACTGTCAGCCCCATGGTATTGTACCCGCACCGTCAGCCCCCATGTTATTGTCCGCACCGTCAGCCCCCATGGTATTGTGTTGCCGCACTGTCGCCCCCATGGTATTGTACCCGCACCGTCAGCCCCCATGGTGTGTACCCACTGTCGCCCCCATGGAATTGTGTACCCTCACCGTCAGCCCCCATGGTATTGTACCCACCGTCAGCCACCATGTTACCCCACCGTCAGCCACCATGGTATTGTACCCTCCGTCAGCCCCCATGGTATTGTACCCACCGTCAGCCCCCATGGTATTGTACCCACACCGTCAGCCACCATGGTATCTCACCACCTGACACAACTATAAATTATATTATCAATCGATGACCTGAGCCATACTACAACGCCTCTCCTTCCCTGGGGTGTGGTGTGGTGTTGTGGTAGTGTGGTGTTGGGTGGTAGTAGGAGTGGGGGTGGTAGTGTGGGGTGGTGGTGGTGGGAGGAGAGACAAGGGGTGGTGGTGGTGGTGCTTCAACAACTAAGGTCTTTCAGCGTAACAAGATTAATAATTTGGTCCATCAACAATTAAAAATTATGAGAAATCGAACTCTAATTTTAGGTAGAAATGTGGAATGTGGTGGTGTGGTGACGTGGTGTGGAGGGGAAGGAAGGAAGGAAGGAAGGAAGGAAGGAAGGAAGGAAGGAAGGAAGGGGCATACAGAAGAGACGACAGTTTGGATGCGTTCACTGGCAAAGATTAATTTAAGCGACAGGAAAATAAATGACACTGACAATAAGGTGGCGTGAAGGTCGGGTCAGGACACAGACGTTTACGAGGGAGATATTTGTCCCGTGGTTAGGATTTATTGAGCCAAGGCCCAACACTACCATAGGTGTCGGAGGATTGTCATCTTAACAAAAGCTCATCACTCATTCATAGGCACCACGTATACAGCCCCCCCCCCCCTCTCTCCTCTCTCCTCCCCAAAAATAAATATCGCTGTTGTTATGTTTTTCCGTCTTTATAATTTGAAACACTAACACAACTCCCGAACCTATGACTAACAATACCAAAATTTCGTCACGTTCCATTAAAAAATTTTCCCTGAGTTGAATTTACATATTAATGATTACAGTAACTTTCGATTACATACGACTCATGAATACATATAGACAGAGAGAAACACCAACAGCAATATCCCACATCTGAGAGAGGAGGGGAATAATACAATGAAGTGGTGACAGTAAGGAGTAACACAGAGGCAATACAGACTTGCCCAATTTCAACTCTCTCTCAAAGTCCCCCACCTCCCCCCTAACCCCACCCCCCTACTACCACTATCTCGTCTCACTGGCCAAATTCTTTTTCTTTTGGTGATGATGATGACGAAGACGATGACGACGAAGATGATGATGACGATGACGTGTTGACCCCACCAATAACATCATCAAGATCAAGGTTGGTTATGAAGAAATTTTTTATCCTAATTAAACATTCCAGATAATAATTTACTTCCCTCATATGGTTCAAAAATTCCTATACCACTTTGGACATTAAGAAAAATACCTAAACATTATACAACTTTATTTATATACAGACATTCAGTAATTACAAGAGATTATGACGGTCGTTATTAAGACATTCGGGTGAAATTTTCTTCATAAATGTCTAACTTCAACAAATCATCAACCCAAACTTCATCCATCAACAACCAACCATCATCAACCCAACCAGCCTGATGTGTTCGCCTCTACTCAGCCTTCTACGATAAAGTGTGGACGAGTGACTCAATATCCAGTGAGACTTGAGAAGACTTCAGCCCTTTAACTTAAAATAACATAGACTTCAGCCCTTTAACTTAAAATAACAGACTTCAGCCCTTTAACTTAAAATAACATAGACTTCAGCCCTTTAACTTAAAAAAACAGACTTCAGCCCTTTAACTTAATATAACAGACTTCAGCCCTTTAACTTAAGATAACAGACTTCAGCCCTTTAACTTAATATAACACAGACTTCAGCCCTTTAACTTAAGATAACAGACTTCAGCCCTTTAACTTAAGATAACAGACTTCAGCCCTTTAACTTAATATAACATAAGACCACAGAGTTATATAGGGTCTTAAAATTGATAAAACTCCAAGTATTTCAAAAGATATCTAAGGTGTCAAAAATGTGGCTTAACGAGGGATGGCTTGTCCCTGGTCTGTCTATAGTTCCTTCGTCATATCTTCTTCCTCTTCGTTATTCAGTTTTCTTCAGTTCCTCTTCGTTATTCAGTCATCTCGTCTTTCTCTTTGTTATTCAAGTTTTCTGCTCTTCTTTTCCTCTACGTAATTCAAGTTTTTCTCCTCTTCCTCTTGGTTATTCAATCTCCTCCTCTTCCTCTTGGTTATTCAGTCTCCTCCTCTTCCTCTTCATAAATCAGTCCTCTTAGTCCTCTTCCCCCTATAGTCTTCTCCTCTTCATTTAAAGTTCTTACCATTAACCAACTCAAAATAAATTGTGATTAATTCAAAACTTACAAAATCTCTCTCTCTCTCTCTCTCTCTCTCTCTCTCTCTCTCTCTCTCTCTCTCTCTCTCTCTCTCTCTCTCTCTCTCTCTCTCACCTTAACAACAACCAATGCTTTTCGAAACACACTGAAAGTTAACAATATCCTAAGTGATCAGTAGTATGTGGTTAGGTTAGGTTACTGACTGGTATTCCTCAAATATTTAAGCCATCAATCAATAAGCTACAATGGCGACCGACCGACCGACCGACCGACCGACACACACACACACACACACACACACACACACACACACACACACACACACACACACACACACCAGCTGGCTCTATATCTCACATATTTCAGGATATTTTTAGTTGCGTCAGTCAGCTTTATGGAAACTAATCCTGACTGACTGACAAACTGAAGGACATAGACTGACATACTGAGTGACAGACAGACAACTTGAGTGATATGTATGTACCAATAATATTCCACGGTAACGGGAAACGATAAACGGAATTACTAGAAAGTGACCTTGACCTTTGACCTTATAAGTGTCTTCCTACAAATACAGGTCAAACAGTCAACCCACCTGTCAATAACACCTGACGTATTACCCATCACCACTACCAATGACCTGTTGTATACAAGCGGCGATCCCGACCTTACAAATCTGAAAATGTGAATCTGGTGTTGTGGTAACGAGTATCATCCGCCAAACAGTAAAAGCTTTAGTAGTTGCAACACAAAGCCGAGGTTGAGGGAGGGCCCAGACCAGAGGTGGGTCAATACACCTTTCTCGTGAGTTGTGGCAAATGGGATTAAAAAACGTGAAGGAGTTGAGCAGCGATGGTGGTGGCGGGCTGCTCTCTGTCTATCACCACCACTGCCACTATCACCACCACTGCCACTACCACCACTACCGCCGCTGCTGCTGCCACCACTCCTCATACAGTATTGAGAGCCAGATAGCGAGCGGTTAACACCCTTTCTCAGGTCCCGCTCGCCGCCTCGCAACACAGCCCACCACCTCACAACACAGCCCACCGCCCCACAACACAGCCCACCACCTCACAACACAGCCCACCGTCTCACAACAAAGCCCACCGTCTCACAACAAAGCCCACCGCCCCACAACACAGCCCACCACCTCACAACACAGCCCACCACCAAACAACACAGCCCACCACCTCACAACACAGCCCAGGGAAGACGAGACTGGCGCCAACTGTGATGTCTCCAGCTACTCTACACATCAGTGGCGGACCAGACAAGAGGGATAGGACTTTATGCCGCGATTAATGTGGACGATCCTACTGGCTATTGTTCTGATTAGGTTAGGTTAGGTTAGGTTAAGATCTATTTTTTTTCGGCCTAAGCATTGTTCCCAAATAGATGATGACGCACAGCACCTCCAACACGACAACGATGACTTATGGTGCGTGATTCTGAAACTCTTGTCCTCCAGAAAAAAAAATCACGAGTCAGGTCTTCAGATATAACGGTAAAATAAAAATAACACAAATAATCAATAATCAATCACGTCGTCAATGGCTTCTTGGGATTAATTTGATCATCAGTGGAATATATGAAGAAGCAAATTTTTATTTTTTTTTAGATAAACATGACAAAATATGAAAAGAAAGAAAGAAAGAAAACCTCAAATCTTTCCATCTTCATAATTAAGGCACCAGTGACCCTCGTCCTTAATGATAAAAAAAAATTAAAATAAATAAATAAATAATAATGACTTTTAACATCAGGCACGTAAGAATATTAAATAAATTTCATACAGTACAAAATTGAACCAAGTCAGTTATGCTCCCACGCGGGGTATTAGGCAACTCCAAAAAACTTCTTTCATAATAATTCTCAATAAAATTAATGAAACCTTATCAGTGAAGGTTCTCGTTAAGTAAAAAAAAAATAACGTTGGTCTAATTCAAGCCATCAGAGATTTTTAATAGTCGCTTTAGTAAGGTGGCCGCTATAATTAACCCATAAATCTGAAGAATGTTCAAACTTGTTCAAACCAAAGCTCACAATGAACAGTTTAAGTCATCACAGCAAGTTTATGTTCAAAGTTCCACTGATTGCATGACAGACTATGAAGTTACCTGAGAATCATGCGGAGGTGTACAGTGTTAATGAAGTTACCTGAGAATCATGCGGAGGTGTACAGTGTTAATGAAGTTACCTGAGAATCATCCTTTAAACAAGACTTCCATTATCATTAGAAATCCATTTAATCAGGAGTTATAACCCGTAATTAACACATAATTATACAAACATACCTAATTACATAATAAGCTGCTCCAAACAATTAATCCGGCATAAACAGGGCCTAACTCACCATTAAATGCAAAGCTTATTAAGGCTTCTAGTGTTAAGCCGTTAAGCCATCACAGGTACAGAGGAAGTTTCAGAATAATACAAAAAAAGTTTCACTAAGTTACATCACCACAACGCAACTCTGGACGCTAACACACAAAATATCCAAGATGGCTGTTAACGTGTGGATATTGGATGTAGGAGCCACATATACCTGACAGGATAATTAATTACAAATATACCAACACAAGCAGGCGCGCTCACACACACACACAAGTATTAGAGGACGTCCTTGCTGTATAAGGTATTCGGTTTACTCTGGAACGTATAATATAATCCACAGATGGTCTCAGTAATTCCCTCACCCAATGTGTGTGTGTGTGTGTGTGTGTGTGTGTGTGTGTGTCCAAAAGTCATTCCCCTCAATGTAATTATTGCAAATTACATATATTTATACAGGTAACCAAGCAAATTACTGCACGCTTACTCACTTACTTGTAAACACACCTGTATGTATATGTGTACACGTAGGAAA